CACCACTTACTTATGGGTCATTTATTAAACCTCCCTAAACCTTAGGGTTTAGGGTTTAGGGTTTATTAAACCTCCCTAAACATTTGTAGAAGAAAAATAATAAAACCCTCCTGGCAAAATTATTGGGAGAGTTTAATTTAATGTATGTAAAATCCAGCACACTTCTTGTCTTAATAACTGATTCTCATAATCTCTATTCTAATAGGTTCAAGATTTCACTGTTCTAAATTTAGAGGAACTAGGAAGAAAAATGAGACTTTTTCACGAAGGAAATTAAAGAGTAAGAAAAAATGCCTTTCATAGCACTTGTGTTTATGTTCTAAGTCCTCTATAAATATTTTTCATAGTCCTATGATATGCTAAACATTAAAACATTAATTTTGGTTCTGCTTAACTAAAATTTTATTTTTTTATTTATTAAAGAAAGTTTATGGATTACTGGAGAAAGTGTTTTATTTTTAATAGTAAAGCCTAAAAATCATAAGCTGTTATAAGAAAAATTATTCTAAATCTAAGGCTATCCTTTAATGGGAAAAAAAAAGTCTTTATTTTTGTTATTTCCTAGAAAGGAACTCCAAAAATTTAAATAAACTTAAACAGGAAATCACAGTTTAAGAGATTGAAAATTATTGGAAGAAAATAAAGTTCACCCTAGAGTCCATCGTATCTTACAGCTTTATCTTCTCTATTAGAAGATAAAGACTGTTTTCACCTTCAAAAAGAACCAAAAAAGGAGAAATTGGGGTTTTAAATCATGCCAGAAAATTTATGTGACCAACTTCTGAGACAGTCTCTGAGCTTATATTGAAAAATCTTTCACTTGGATTTATTACCCACGTGACGAGTTCGTGGCTAAGGTTTCTATGTCCACGAAGACGGTTCAAATAGTAATATCTCTGAAATGTGTCCCCTTTATCATCTAATAGAATGTATGCTCCTTTAAAAGCGTTTGAATCTCCAGTCTTCTGACAGCATAGCAGTCAGTAGAATGAGCATTGGATGGAAGAGATGAAGCAAAAGCAGTGCCCCCAAATAAGTGCAACTTTGATATGAAGTTTTCTTTCCTTGAAAAGTCAGGACTAAAATCAGTATGATCAGTCAGCATACACTTCTGTGTTTCCTATATTGCAACAGGTCAATTGGCCCTCCATAGAAAAAACAATTCTGAATGCCATCCACTTAATTTGTGTGGTCCGTTTTAGCAATGATCCTGTTCAGTTCTTTCCAAACTTCTCTTTGGAGTCTCAATTCAATTCATAAAATTATGAATGAATGTGAAAACTTGAAGTTGTTATTCACCCTCCTTTAAAATTGCTGCATTTGCCATGAGGCTTCATACAATATTGAATATCTGAAGAAGTCTGAAAATTTAAAAGTATTTGGTACTACTTAGATACAGACTTTGCTGAGGGAGAGTTTGAGAAATAATATAGAACAAACCAGAGGTAGCACATTAAAACAAAACTGGTAGTATCCTGACAAAGACACACACAAGTATCCTGTAGTAATGCCACTATCAGGGTTCAAATCACAAACAATGATGTTCTAAAATCCAGTCCTTCCAATGCTGGTAAATAAACACCCAAAAATATTATCTAAAGTAAACCTGTTTTTATCAGTTTATGGACTTGTTATATTCCAGGGCATACATGAAACATACATAAATAAGCCTTTGATTAAAAATATGCTTCTTAAAATATGAAATATTCATCTCTCTAAATGCTTACAGTAATGTTGTATTATTTTCTACATAAAATTTTTCACTAATTTTCTACAGTCTTTTAGATGTTTAATAGAAGTATTTTAATATGTATACATAGTAAATAAAAGCTTTCAGAAATACAGTGTTCGTACAATTAGTTTAAGATCACTTAAGTAAATTATTAATAACATAGAGAAAGGTATGTAATCAAAGACTTCCTATCCTGTTAAAAGTTACAATAGGCCTGGCGTGATTCTGTTTTGTTATCTTTCCTAGTAAATATTTACTTAAAAACAAAAATAACTTAGTTAAGAGAGAAGCTTTTATCAAGAGGATCAATTTGGCATGGGCAAAGTCTGTATTTTCTTTCTAGAACAAATATAACTTTATTAAAAAATTGTACTTTCCACAGATTATAATAGCTATTTACCTGAAAAGATGCTTAATTGCAGAAATGAATTTGCATCTCCTCTGCCTTAACCCTAAATCATGCGTAGGAAATCTTCACGTAGCTAGAACTTTTAACAGGAAAAACATATTGACTCCAGAGAACTACAGTGACACCTTAAAGGCACGGTTTTTACATTTTCACTCTTGCAATAGGTCACTTGAATCATGAATAATGCATTGCATAAAACTGATATCACTGAAAAGTAGATAGCTTCATAAGAAAAACATTTTACTCTTCAGAGTAGCCTCTACTAGAAAAAAAGGAATGATAGTGCTGTATGATACACAATTATAAAAAGGTTTTTCAGAGCAGAATTCTTTGATCCAAAATTCTCTGAGCTTATTGGAACCAAAGAAAATGAAAAGAATATATTTGAATAACAGCACAAATTAAGGCTTCTGGATTCCTTTACAAGGATCTGTCCTTTAACCTTCGAATACTTGGAGGATTTTACACTGTGAAGTCTTCACATATAGTTTTATCATGCAGCTTTTTTGAGATGTAATTTACATAATATAAAATTCACCCTTTTAAAATGTACAATTCGTGGTTTTTAGAATACTCAGAGTGTGCAACTATCACCACCATCTAATTGCAGAGCATTTTTATTACTGCAAAGTGAAATCCTATACCCATAAACAGTCTCTCCTCATTCTCTTCTCCCCCCCCCCATCCTTAGCAACCACCAATCCACTTTCTGTGTCTATGTATTTGCCTATTCTAGACATTTCATATAAATGGAATCCTACAATTCCATATATAGTTTTAAATGAAAAAACATATTTAGTTAATATCATGTCAAGTAATTTTTACAGCTTAAGAAAGAGAAAACAGACTAAATGTTTAGAAAATTCATGGCTATGAATTTAATGTATACTCCACAAACTGTTGGAAATAGTTTGTGTCTACTTCCATAATCTGGAAGAATGTTTATAAATATCATCATAGCATTTTGAACAGAGGTGTAATTCCCTGAATATACCCCTATCAGAATATATTTCAAGTTGCCTTCAATTTACATATAACCTATTGCTTTAAAAAATAAAATGTGTTTTAAGAATAAGTTCTTGATTAAAAACACATTTCATTTTTAAATATGAGAGTAAATACCACTGTGAATCAACTTACATTATTACATCGAATGTCACCTGAAGTCCAACTACGGTTCAAAATTGCCTTGTCATTCTTCAGGGGAAAACCAAACCACTGTATAAGCTACTTAAGTTTCTTGTTTTCAAGGAGCAAATGCTTTTTATAGTTTGACTATCATAGCAACAACATTGGCTTATTTGCTTTGCAAAAATTAAATTAATGATGATGGAAACTAAAGGGTTCCAAAAATACCCTTAACACCTTCCAGTTTAATAATAGTTTAAATTGCCAACAAAATTAATATTCATATTTAATTTAGACAGCATAAAATTATAAAATTTTGTGTTTTGAAAGAAGACAAAATACTCACAGTTAAATGATATTACTAGAGATTGTCCTTTTCCTCGCAGAACAAGTATAGATAGATTTAACAAGGACTTCAACTTTCCAGCTGGAGCAAATTGGACCTTTTCCCTATTTATCAAGGAGCGGAGAGGGGGGCACTCTGCATACACTTAGGCTCCAGACACTCTGCAGAGCAACGCTTCAGCTCTATCTCAGAGACAAACTTCCCAGACAATCCTCTCTTAGGTCAAAACAAGGGCAGTTATTATTTGACATAAATCAAATAATAACCAGATCATCAGGGATAGAGTTCTTTGGGACCTTCAGGTCACACTCTCCCAGAGTTCCTTATTGTTTACTTAATAAATATTTTGTTTTCTTGATTAAATTTGACATTCTCCCACTTTGGTTACAAAACACTGGGTCTCTAGAAACTACTAAGCAAT